TAATCTCTTATATAACATAATAATAATAAATAGCGAGGGAAGCGTTTTTTAATTTTAATAAAAAAAACGAGGTAACGAATATATATATATATATATATATATATATATATAAGTCGAAGTTAAAAGCGTTAATAAGAAAGTTAGTCTTATTTTTAATAATAATAATAAGGGTATTTCTAATACTATACTATTATAAGCTATTATTATTTAAAAAGTAGTAAACTTAGCTAAGTAAGTAGCTTATAAAGTAGTAGTATCGGGCGCTTAGTATTATTATTAATAATCTTAAATTTTATAAAAAGGAAAGTTAAAAAGTAGAAAATCTAAAAAAATAGTCTATCGAGATAGTAAGAGTATATATTAATATTATATATTAATATTATATAATTAATATTAAGAACTATTTAAGTAATTAGTAAAGATAGAATATAAAATTAAATAAGTAACGTATTTAATATAGTTTATATATAAAACGTACGTAGTACTTTAAAAAGAATTATCCTTTATATAATATTATTAACTATACCTACGTTTACTTAATAATAACTATATTATTTAGTACCCAGTACTATAATAATAATTACGGTTCTATTTTTATATAATAGTTATAGTATTTTATTTTTCATAATACCCTATTACTACTTATGCTATTTGGCTTTGTAAAACCTTCTGCCTTAGTACTATTAGTTACACACGATCCGTTAGTATATTCTTAACCATGCTGCCCATTGCCCAGTTGTGTTTCCTAGGGACATGTGGAACTTACCATCCTCGACACTTCGCACATTTAGCGTTTTCCGCTGCACGATCACCTCGAGGTCCTGAATGTTATTCATCAAATTCTGAACCTTGGCTTCGTAGAAACGTTCGGCAGACTCGGTATCCTGCGTAACCGTTAACACACACAATGGTCAGAGGTCAGACCGAACCTCGGGCTTGATGAACATACCTTCTCGACATAGAATCCTGTGCCTACGTCGACGATGACGTGCTTTGGATCCGAAAGCTCCCCACGTACGTAGAGGGAGTTGGTTAGCGGCACCAGGACAGATTTGTCGCCTGGAGAAATGTTAACTCGGCTGGCCACTGATAAGACGGGAAAGTTGGGGGCATGCATACCATCGCCAGCACCAGGCCTGGCCTTGACACACCGAAGGCACTCCTTGAACCTGGATTGTGCGCTGTGTAGCTGGGCGAACGAGTTTGTCAAGTGCTCGAGTTCTTCTTCCAATTGCTTCTTGACCTGACTGAGTTGCTGTGTGTCCAGCGTCTCCAGATTGACTGTGGAGCCGAGTCAGCACGGAAATCGACGATGTATACCTGATCTTCATGAGGAGATGGCGGAATCTCAACCGGAAATACTCACTACTCTCGGAACCCTGAGCGGCCATGGTTGATTAAACAGGCTTGCGGGCGAACAAAGTCGTCGGGATAGATGATTGAAGTGAGTATGAGTCCCTGCTTAGTACCGAACCCTAGGCGACGGTGAAGGCCCACTTCGGACAAAAGGGCAAAAAGATAAACTTCGGGTTGCTGATGTGATTGAGACCCGATGCTGTGTCAAACTCTCGGGAGGGGACTGAGGTTTGAAGCAAGGCCTGACTACTTGATTGTCGTTCATTAACACCACTCCTTCCCATATTATTGACAGCATTTGTCGCACTTCTCGGGTGGCTATACACGTGACCGCCCCACACCGCGCAGGACATGTCTGGGCAGGCCGCCGTCGCATGTCACCCAACTCACATCGAGTTTGGTAAGATCAGTAGATAGAGAGAGGTTGCCGGGTCCCTGATGCTTCGACAGCAATGGACATACCTTTTAGCTGTGACATTAAAACGAGCTATTGGAGGCGATTTCCTATTTTCTACGATGGTAGGACATCTGATTTGGAGGTACATGAATGCCTTGTACACGCCGCGTCGCGGGCGCCTCAACGAGACGTCCTAGCGGTCTTCATTCTGCTCAGAGCTGTTCGAGCAACTCTGCCACACGCTGGCGTAGCTCTCTAAGCGGTACCATTTCTTTGATCCCGAATCTGCGGCATTGGACCTCACAATTACCTGTCTCTTTCCATACTTTACCCAGTATGACTAGGACTGGATAACCTACCAAGTCTGCGTCATTCAGCTTCCAACCGAAGGACGCCGACCTATCATCCAGCACCGTGTCAATGCCCCCTGTGGCGATCTCATCATACACTTGACTAGCATCTTCAGCTAGAGTAGGAGTGGAAATCACCACGACTTCGTAAGGGGCAATCACGCGCGGCCATTGTAGGCCCTTCGTGTCTGTCAGATGCTCAGCTACGGCCCCTATGAGTCGGGAGACGCCAATTCCATGGCACCCCATCTGCATAGGTGTCTTTTCCTCAGCCAAAGCTGGCTGACCATCGTGCTGACTTGAATTCGCACGAGTTGGTACGGATACTGTTGCATCGAGTGGCTCCGAGTATCGAGTTCCTAGGTAGAATGTGTGCCCAAGCTCCAGCGCCTTCTGCAGCTCGAGAACGCCACTGTCGCAGCAAGGGCATCTGTCACCATCGCGAGCCGCGAGCAGGTGGATTGGTTGTCCAACTTGAGTTCTGGTAATGATGGTTGAGTCTACTCCATCTTCGGGAACATCCAACCCTGACAAAGGCGATGATTTACTTTCTTCTCGTAGAACCTCTTCTAGGTTGCTGGTCAATGTGGAGTGTATGATGTTAATGATTTGGGGCCGGGTGGCCGCAGTGTCCGTGCTAGAACTCGTTGATGTAATAGCTGCCCGCCACAGTGATACGGCATTCTCAGTGCTTGCGTCCAGATCAGCGACAATTGTCTTGATGGCCGAAATCCTGAGATCTTTCTCTCCGTTAGATTCATCCTGGCTTCGGCCTGGATACCAGGCATTCACCAAGGTCTTGCGGTCTTTACTGATGCCTCGCCACACCCTTATTGAAGCAGATGCAGGACTTGGGGCTTCAGTCGGACCGCATGGTCCTGTGCTGTCGACGGCCGCTGTCCTTGGCTCGGCGACCTCGGCGTTAGCAGCGTAGCTACAAGTATTGCAGGTGACCAGAGTGTCCTCCCCAATTGAGGTGGGCAAGTGATACTCATGGCTCAGATCGCCTCCCATGTCGCCGGAGCTCGCTTTGGCTACTTTCACCGGCAGCTTCAGTGCTTTGAAAACGCCGGTGTATGCCGACTGGACCTTCTTATAGGTCTCTAAGGCCGAATTCGCGGAGACATCAAAAGTATAGAGGTCCTTCATGGTGAACTCGCGGGTTCTTAGTAGTCCATGGCGCGGACGAAGTTCGTCACGGAATTTGCGCGCTAGTGATTTCAACATGAGTTATTGGGTTGCAAAAGAGGTCTGTGAAGTTTCTGTGCTCACTGATCTGATAGAGGCGAAGGGGCAGTTCTTTGTAGGATTTCACAGTCTTCGCCACTAGAGTAGTAATCTCTTCTTCGTGGGTGGGCGACAGCATGTATTTGGACCCTTTGCGGTCCTCGAAGCCGAAGAGCTTTGCCAGTCAGCCGTAGGATCAAGGTTTTTGAGACAGCATGCACTGACCTCAGCCTCTAGTTGTGTAAGACGGCCACTCCTCTCCCAGAGGTCCTTGGACGTAATGGTTGACAGAGCTACTCTCGAGGCTCCTGTGGCAGACGTCAGTAAATGGCAGCGGCCGGCAACCGAGGTGTACGAGAAAACTTACCGAGTTCTTGCATGTAATAGTCAATGACGCCCTCGAGTTTCCGTTGGACACGCTGGCCAAGAGGAAGTAGATGGAAAATGCCAGAGTGTGACTGAAATATGAGGAATGAGCAAAATCTCCCATCTCAATACCCCTTCACCGAATCACCTACCTGTCGCAAGAATCCGGCGCGAACAAGCTTTTCATAGGCGCCTGAGTTTCTGAATTGAGCATGCTGACAATCGAGATAGGCAGCATGCGATAGACCTACCTTCGCCTCGTTCAGGTGTCATTCCTCCGGTAGGGACCCAAACAGTTGACAGTCGATTCCTGGTGCTACCAGCGCGGTAGCCGCGGCTGAATGACTGATGGCATGTAAGCAATGTCATATGAGTTTATTGCTTCAAAGGCATATGTGTACCTACCTGGCTACTGCCATTGAACGGTAAGTTGCCATGGCTTGCCTTCGTGCTATGAGGCGTCGACAAGATAGGGAGTCTCCATGCGCGACTGAAAGACATGTTGCCGTCGAAAGTAAGTACGCCAGCTGACGAGGTAACTCTGGAACACGTTCGCTGACCAACACTCTCAAGTGAGTTGCTGGTTCAGTAGCGATGACCAATATCTTCACCTTGAAAGCCTCCACCAAGATGGGATGATAGTGGTGATTGATCAACCCTTGAACGAGCTGGCCGCTTGAGGACTTGTCAATCGGGAATCAGCAAATGGCACAGGCTGGCAATGGACAATTGATTAGTGAGACTGGCGCGAAGACAAGATCTACTCTTATTGGGGTCACAAGAGGCCAGGTGATGGAGGCTACGTCAAATTTTGTTTGACCACAATCTTGGATTACTTTGGATGAGAGGGCTATTAGCGACAAATTGGCTTACCTAGGTAGACGGGGCCAGATGGATGCGCGACCCGAATTTATAGCGTTATTACCTTACTCCGAGTTGCCTTGGGTACTCCAAGTTGGAGATGACAATACAGATTGGTAACATTCATTTGGGTTTACCGTTCCACTTAAGGAGGTATCCGTACCTAGACCGGGAGGCTCGACCACGACTTCGACCACCTCAGGTCCCGTCACGTTGCCGTCCCTGCTTATCGATAAGAAAGTTGACCCCACTCCTGGCTCTCAATGCCTTTTTTTTTTCTTGCGACAACCTTTCCTCGCTGCATTGCAGGTTCTGCTTCTTGTACATTTTGGTGTAACACAGGGGATTTTTCTCTCCTTCACACGGTTCGTTATTGTGTTCTTCAATCATTTATCCAGGACTCTCCCTCTTCTTTTGGCTGCGGTCGTAACCTGAAATACATGATGGGCAAGCCAAAGAGGCAATCTGCCGGCAGGGCTCGACAGCCAGTGTCCTTGAACCCGGAATCATTTTCGAATCTCACAGCCAAGATCGAGGGAAAACTAGGCAAAGCTGTCAAAGATAACTCAACCGATAACAAGAAGCGCAAACACGTCTCCGACGAGCCATTGGAGAGCTCGCATCAACGGAAAAAGCACGCCCATCGTCGCGACAAGTCCACGAGCGGGCGAGGCGACATTACGACCAAGGTGAAGGGCAAGAAAGGCGCGCTCCTCAACCGCGAGGATCTCCTTGAGGAGATCAGGGCTTTGGGAGGAGACGAAGAGGACCTGAAGCTCATCGGAGACATTGATTCGGACGACGAGGACGCCGCTGAGGAAGCCAACTCTCTGGCCAATATTGACGGAAAGCTTCAGAGTGAGCTTGCTGCTTTCGCAGCCCAGCTCGGCCTCCAGCAACATCACGAAGCAGCAACAGCCCAGGATGCAGAAGAATCCCCGGAGGAGGAGGAGACAGAGGAGGACGAAGCGAGCGAGGCAGATGAAGTTGGTGAAAGCGACGACCAGTCTGCCCAGGAGGACGCAGCTGCAGAAGTCCATGCACCGCAACAACCTCCCCGTAAGGATGTCAAAGATACGTTCAAGAAGCAGTTCGTGAGCAGCCACCTGACCCAAGTTCCCGTCATGCATATGCTGACCTGTGCCCGCCAGAAATTCGAACCTCGTGCTGATTGGCACGGGGCGGAACTGAGCCAGCTCCCAGACCCTACGTCCCCCGAAGTGAATGGTTTCCTTGGCGTCATCAGTGCTCTCAAAGCTCATGCAGTCGCTCTTCTGGAGGCGGATGCGGCAGCGTACAATAAGAGCGTCCTGGCATCATCCTCTCGAAAGTTCCTCTCCACCATCATGTCTTCCGGAACGCTCTCCGACAAAGTCTCTGCTCTCACCTTGGCAATTCAAGAGTCACCACTGCACAATGTCAAGGCTTTTGAGTCTCTCCTAGGCCTTGCGTCCAAAAGGAGTCGTGCTCAGGCCATTGGCGCTCTTGGCGCTCTGGTTGATCTGCTCGGTCCGGGTCTAGTCCTACCCCCTAATAGGAGACTGCGTGCCTTTCAGACTCAACCTGGTCTCATTGGAGTTCTGCAGCGATCCTCTGTCAAGAATTGGAACTCCAGCCAAGCCTTACCGGGTCGCTTAACGGATGCACACCTCATCCAGTGGGCTTACGAGGATTGGCTCAAGATATCATACTTCAAGATCATCCAGCTCCTTGAGGTCTGGTGCAACGACGAGATTGAATACTCTCGCACCCGTTCCATCGACTTTGTCTACGGCCTGCTCAAGGACAAGCCCGAGCAAGAGACCAATTTGCTCAGGCTCTTGGTTAACAAAATGGGCGACAAGGACCGCAAGATTGCCTCAAGAGTTTCCTACCTTCTTCTTCAGCTTCAGAACACCCACCCCGGAATGAAGCAGGTTGTGATCAAGGGCATAGAGCAGGAAGTTCTACTCCGACCAGGTCAAACTTTCAGGGCCAAGTACCACGCTACGAACACTCTGAACCAGACGATACTGAGCAACCGCGAAGGTGGCACGGCAGAGGCACTGCTCCGCATTTATTTTGAGATTTTTGTTACTCTTCTCAACAGTTCCGCACTTGGCAAAGCATCTGCCGAAAGTCAGCAGGATCGTGCTTCCAAAGAGACTGGCGTTACAACGGAGACAGCCGATAAGCTGGTTACCGCAGTATTGACAGGTATCAACCGCGCTGTGCCGTTCGTGGCCGAGCAAGACCCGATGTAAGTATTGCTTTTTCAATGGTTTCTGTGCTTCTGAATTTTCGAAGTAACTGACACTCGCATGCAGCCTCGAATCCCAAATGGACACTCTTTTCCGAATTGCGCACTCGACGAACTTCAACACAAGTATTCAGGCGCTAATTCTGATTCAGCAAATATCGGTGTCAAGGCACCTGGCTTCCGACAGGTTCTACAGGACGTTGTACGAATCCTTGCTGGATCCGCGACTTGCCAACTCCTCTAAACAAGCCCTTTATTTGAACCTGATTCTGAAGTCTCTCAAGGCCGATGTTGACACGAGGCGGATTAAGGCCTTTGCGAAGAGAATGTTGCAGATTCTCAACTTGCACCAGCCTGCTTTCGTCTGTGGCTTGATATACGTGGTGTTCCAACTGCGGACTCAGTTCCCCGACCTTAGAGCACTCCTTGAAGAACCAGAGGATAACGACACAGAAGAGGCGACTAGCCAGCCCTCGGCAGAGGATCAGAATGTATCTGTTTCTAGAGGAAGTGTGTACGATGGCCGCAAAAGAAACCCAGAACATAGCAATGCTCAGAACAGCTGTCTCTGGGAAATTGTAAGCTTGTACCTGTGTTTGAGTTCACGAGACTCCGTTTGCTAATGAATGCAGATACCACCCCTCACTCACTTCCACCCGTCCGTGTCTCTACTGGCCGCAAGTCTGTTCTCAAATGAGAAGCAGATGGCTAAACCCGACCTAGAGAGCCATAGCTTGATCAGATTCCTCGACAAGTTTGTGTACCGCAGCCCGAAGGCGGCAGAGACTGCTAGGGGAGCATCTATCATGCAGCCGGTCCGCAATCCTGATTCTGGCAGTATCTGGCTCGCGAAGAGAACTGGCTCAGGTGCAGCTGCGCCAATTAATACGCCTAAGTTCTGGAACAAGAAGGTAGACCAGGTCGCAGCGGAGGATATCTTCTTCCACGAATACTTCAAGCAAGCGGGCAAGAAGGTCGAGGGTGGTAAGAAGATCACTGAACAATCGTCATCTGGACTAGATGAGGTCAGTGCCGAGGATGACGCCGAACAAGAGGATGAGATTTGGAAGGCCTTAACTGCCTCGCATCCCGATGGTCCAATCGAGAGTGACGATGACGACCTTGACATGGATGGATTCGACGACAGCGATGACGAGTCCGATGGTGGCGTTATCTTCTCTGACGGCTCCGACGCCGAACTTTCGGATGGCGACGAAGATGACGGAGACGACGAAGATGCTGGCGAACTCCATGGCGAGGAAGGAGACGACGATGAGGCGATGGAGGATGAGGGTGGCCCCGAGCTGTCTGCAGTACCTGGAGAGGCCGAGGAAACTAGCCAGAAGAGCAAGAGCGCCGCCCGATCATCCAGGAGGAAACTCAAGGACTTGCCCATGTTTGCGTCGGCAGATGATTATGCCGAACTCTTGGCGGCAGAGGAGGAGGACATGTAATCGGACCAAGAAATTCTCAATAGATATCATATTGTATGTCTGGGTTAGAAAAGCCCATGAGATGAGAACTCCTGATCAACTCGCTCCCGGCCCATCCCATATCTACCTATGTGTCAAACCACTCAAGGTCGTCATCTTTAGTGAATATGGCTCTATACGTCTTGTCTCCATCCGAATGCTCAGTCTCTTCAGTGTGAATGCTGTGAAGTTTTGGCGGCTCAGCTCCGGGCACGAAGGCGCGGAAGTGAATGTAGGCAGGCCCCGACTCAGGTAGGGCTGGGATTCGGACCTTGCCAAAGAGGTGGATTCCGTAAGCCGAACTGGCAACTCTTACGGCCACAAAGTTGTCCGGGCCAAAAGCGGCTAGTTGGTGATCGTCGAGGTGTTGCTAGGATCTGTTTGAGCGGACGCGATGGCAAGGCGTGGCAAAATGATGATTGACTTACAACAGCCTGAAAATACTCGGGCTCGTGCTCTGATGATGGAGTGTCAGTCCATGGCTTGTTTCCAGTGGAGAATGTGACTTACTTTGATGCTCACGTCGGATGTGGAGAAGCTCTTTTTTGAGATCGTGCGCGATCTCTTGGAATACCTTGATGGACTCTTCCTTAGGCGCGTGCACAGCGCCCAGATCTACGGTTTCTGCCGTGGCCTAGAATGGACGGAGCACGGCAATAGGTCAGCCGGTGTCAACATGACAGTAGGTCGTTTGCTTATTCGGCATGCGGAGGAAAATGAAAGGCAGTACCATTGCGTGTGTTGCTATATCTTTCTGCCGAATTCCTAGCAGCCGTTATGTGATGTTTGTTGTTAGATGGGACGAGTATAAGATGAAGTTGGTTGACAGTGAATGCCAGAACCAACTGAACGACTGCCTCGTGGACGGCGGTGTCTCATTAAAGTACCAGAAGGCCAAAGGTCAGATGAGGGGTATGTATCCATCTGTACCAGGCCTCCAGGCTCGTCACGTTGCTTGCGCCTGCACCCGTACTTTGTCATTCAAGTTTTGAGGTCTGGCCAGGACCCCTGGAGCCACACGGACCGATGCCGCATGAGAACCAACCACTGAGGTAAGGGCGAAGACTCCGTCCTGCCCGTCCCGAGTCTGATAGTTCTACTACGTAAGGAGAGAGATATGATGTCATGTGGCCGGGATCTTGTCTTGATCATACAATCACATTCAAGGACCCTATTGCGTAGAGTGTACAGGGGGCCGGGCGAGGCTACGACACTAGAAGTTACATGTATGTTATATCTGCAGCAAAGTATGGTTCCAAGTTCAGAATGGAGGAGTGTGCTGTTAAAATAAAGCATCAGACAAGCGCCAGGAGTGGAAACCATCCTACCCGTATTCGTAAGTCCAGGTGAAACCCCCATTGATACATATTTTTGGCTAGGTATTTCTTCCGCAATTGTTCGCTTAATGAAGTCTCGTTTAGTGTCATGATGCTGTGCTACCTTATTGCCGGGATCAAGGTACCTCACCTGAACAGTTAAGCTACCCTACCTGTAGCCTCGGCATACGAGTGACAAACCGCGACAAAGGTCAATCTCGACCTTCTCCTATGCCTCACACATCAATCGTAAGCTTCAATCCTGTTGCTCGATTGACCAGCTGTATCCATGGCAACATCACCCTTTCTTCCGCTTCGGCGACTTCTTAAGCAGCCTGCAACATTGGCCTCCCTTAACGCGCCAATCTTGCAAACCTTCGCCCGTCGTCAGCAGGTTTGGCTCCGACGCTATCACCAAGGCATCAATGCAGGTAAGTTACTTTGCTTTGGGAAGCCCTTCAAGAACATTAGCCATTGAGCTCACACAGTTATTGTAGGCACAGCATCGCAACCGAAAAGCCCTTCCCGGTTTCGCAAAGCCATCAGCTTCGGCGCATTTGGACTGCTGTTTACGAGCCTGGGTTTCGCTGCAGCGGCGAGCCCCCTACTGCCCGGTCTGCTTGACGCGGCAAGACCCCGGTCTGATGAAGATACCCTGCAAGCCTACGTACCCGAAAACGACGAGGCCGCAGTGGTGAATGATTTCGTCAACAACCACCCTATTGCGGCCGAGATGCGCCGGAATCCCGACATGACTGAATCTCGGCCCCACATGAGACTCCCCGATGCGCTGCGGCGGCATAATCTCACTGGCGGCACGCTTCTTGGGCCGGGTCGAATCACAGTTCCCCCTGTATGCTGGACTGAAAAGGGAGGCAAGTCTCTTGTTTCAATCTCCCATCTGGGCACAGACGTTTGTGGTCACCCTGGCATTGTGCATGGTGGATTGCTTGCTACAATGCTGGACGAGGGTCTGGCGCGATGCTGCTTTGGTGCTCTTCCACACAAAGTGGGCGTTACGGCCAAGCTTGAGATCAACTATAGAAAACCAGTGCACGCAGGCACGTACGTTGTTTTGCGGGCGCGTACGACAAGAGTAGAAGGGCGCAAGGCATGGGTTGAGGGCCAGCTGGAAACGCTCCCGGTGGATGGAGAAGAGCCTCTCGTCCTAGCGCAAGCCTCTGCGCTTTTTGTCTCCCCCAGATTTGCATCTGTAAGTGACTTTTTCTCTTACTGCTTGGATCATTGAGCCACAATACTGATATCCAAAAAAAGGTAATGGCGAAGCTGAATGCGACTTGAGACTTTTGCAAACGCAAACCAGAGCGCGACATTTCGATTCTACTTATACTGAAAATTTCAACAGTCGGATAGAATGCGATGGGGCAATTAGAGAGAAGACACGGCACCGAATTCAGAAGGGTTTTGCGAGAGAGATCGATGCACTGAGCTGAAAGCGCATGCTCAACCCGATCCGACTTAGACTATTCGAGCCAGTAGCCCTTCCACACTCTGTGGAACGGATTCTGAATACAGGCCATGAGCCCTCCTGGATGGATTGATAGATGGCTCTCATGAGGGTGGGCGCAGCAGAATAGCTCCCTCTCACGACTTGTAGCGTATGGCGAATACTACGCTATAGATAGCCCCGCGACCTGGCTTGAGCTGATAGATAACTTGCAAGTGAAAATTACGGCCGGTGAAGAGGGATATTGTCCAGCAGAACATTTAGTCAAGATTTCGAAATGCGCGACTCTAGTTGAGTACAGTTGTAATGTCATAGCCGTTCAAGGTGGCCCGGAGCGGTCCCTAGGTGAGACGGAGGAGGTTTCGGCACCGACGTGAAGCGCGGCGCGGCATCCGGGAACGGAGCGGGAGTCGGCACTCGGTCAGTCGGAGGCAATACCTCCCAATGGGCAGGAACCAGCCAGATTACAGGCCTCTGACGTGCTGGTCCCGCCAAGCGATGATCCACCTCTAGCCGATCTGACGCCATCGCTCGGCGCAGACTCGCAGTGTTCCGGTAAGAAAGTACTTGCATCATGTTGCGGATTCTATTGATTTTTTTTTCTGCTGTATCCTAGGTCATTGGATCATTCCCTGCGGTATCCGTAAGGCACTGAACCCGGGTGCGGAGAAGGCCAAAGCCAGACAAAGTACCTCTCTCATGAGGCCACTGTCCATTTTGTAGTGTTAGGGAGTTTTGGGTACATCGCCTGATGCTGACTTCTCCGTGATCTTAGCTCGTGTGAAGTGAAAAACGAGAGGGAAAAATGGAGGGGAGGAGGTGGGGTGAAAAGCATCTTAGTACCCTCCCTACTCGGTCCGTTGTCGTGAGAGTCGTGTATGCGAGCGCATCTGTGTGTATATATGTATGAGTGATTGTTGCCGCTGCGCCTGATTTTAGTTCACACTTTCGTTCCTTCAACACCATTCTCCCCTTTAGTCCTTACCACCAGATACCCAATTGAATTCACAATGGCTACGTAAGTATGAGTCTGGAAATCTAGGCTTCCGTCATGACAGGACCAAAATTGCCCCTCCATGAATTTCCTTCTGCTATCCCACCGACCCCGCAGTCGTCGCACCTGCCTGCGGCGAATGCTCTGCAACTCTTCGCCTTCACGTCCGCAACTCGACAGCTGGCGGCATAACGAACAAATTGGCTGATTTTTGTCCTCCGATATCATAGCAACATTACATGGCATCCCTCACTCTCGCGCTCTGAGCGTAACCAGCTGCGCGGGCAGCGTGGTTTCACCCTCTGGCTCACAGGACTTTCCGCCTCTGGCAAGTCCACCGTAGCAACCGCTCTGGAACAGCACCTTTTGCACCTGGGAGTTGCCGCCTATCGTTTGGACGGTGACAATGTACGCTTCGGCCTCAACAAAGATCTTGGTTTCTCCGAGAAAGACCGTAATGAGAACATCCGTCGCATCGCTGAGGTATGGTCATTTAATCAACCCTTTGGGCTTGATCTTCCGTCCCAAGTACGACCACCGTCAGAGAGTACGCGACTAATGCCGCAGCAGGTCGCTAAGCTGTTTGCCGATTCTTCGACCATTGCCATTACCTCCTTCATCTCGCCGTACCGTGCAGACCGTCAAGTAGCTCGTGAGCTGCACAGCCAGACTGGCCAGAGCAGCGACGAAGCCATTCCATTCATCGAAGTCTTTGTCGATGTGCCTCTCGAGGTCGCTGAGCAGCGTGACCCCAAGGGTCTGTACAAGAAGGCTCGGGCGGGAGAGATCAAGGATTTCACCGGCATCTCAGCCCCTTACGAGGCACCCGAGAAGCCCGAAATTGTTATCAGGACCGACAAGTCGAGCGTCGAGGAATGTGTGGCACAAATTGCCGAGTGGCTGATCAAGGAGGGTCTCATCACTGCGAGTAAAACGGCCTGATGTGTATGGTCCTACAATTGCATGGGCGGCCGGTTCTCATCTTGTTTGAACTAGGAGTTACCTACTAGCTACAGCCCAGAGCTTTCTAACCACGGTCTAATGCCCCTCAAAAAAATACTACGCGTTTTCGGTGCAAGGTCGCGTCTGAAGCGCGGGACTGCATGCGCCCGCCATGCTGCGATTGTGTAGGTCTACGCAACTAAGAGTAGTCAAACTCGTAGTAAACGTAAGCTGTATACTCGTGTCCCTCGCCTCCGCCGAGACCAACAGCAGCCATCTCGGACGACAGTGCTGCGTCGTCTTTGGTAATTTTCCCGCGCTTGTCTCTGCCAAAGGCGTTGCCTCCTAGATACGAGTAATTAGAGTCAAGCGCTGTCTTGACCTTCTTGACCAGCTTCGAATTCGTCTGTCCGCCGCGTTAGCATCGTAAGCAATGACTTGAGCGAGAGAGATGTGTGCTAACCTTGACAAGAACACTGACATAGTCGAGCGGGAGTCCGTAGCGGAGAACAGCCTCGACAAACACGCGCAGTGCGAGCACATGCAGCCAGATCATGACGCTTTCGCTCCAGCCTGTCCGGCCGATTCTCAGAGCCTCTCCCCATGTCTTCTTCTCTTCACGAGCCACCCGGTCAAGCTCGCGTTGCTCTTCCTCCTTTCCGCCCTCCACGTACTTGTATTGACGCGGAGTCCATTTTTGCTCGCGACATTTCGCAAGGAACTCTGCACTGTGTTTTTTGAATGACGTAGCGGCGTACAAGGTGAACTCTTCGTCCGTCGCGACCTGCACAGCAGATCGGGGAACCACCATCGGTGCCAGTGTTTCGTAACTTTTCAAGAAGTCCTTCTTTGCATTGTTCGGCACAACAATAAGATGTGTCTCTAGGTATTCCGAGTCCTGGATGAGGAGGGCGGGATCGACAACGGGAGTGAGGGACTTTGTCGCAAGGTTGCCACTGTAATACCGCTGTCAGCTATCAAGTCGTCGTTGGGCTAGGAAAAACGATGGGCCT